CATCTACAGAACATTCAGTCAGATTCAGAGTCTCTGTTTCCATCAAACTTTCCTCCAATTCCCGTAGCTGTAGCCTTCCAGATGGTTCAGATGCTGCTGTAAGATTACACCCTCCAAGACAGGTGCAAGCACTTTGTCCTCTGCTTCTACAACATCTAAGCGAACTCTATCCAAGTTCCTGACCAAGGCTCAACAACAAGTATACTGAAAGCAGTAAATAAAATTGCTAAGAATTCTTGGTTTCACCCTGGATTCCCAGAGGAAACCACAAATTTTGAGGATCACCCAGCCAAATCAGAGTTGTTGATACAAAAAATCCTCCTAGGGTACATAGAGAGATTGGACAGAGCAACGACACAAATTCAGCTCTGTTAGAGGTGACGAGTGACCGCAAAACTCCCGTCTCCAACCTCCCCATTTGTATTTCTACTTCCTGATCTCTTTTGGCACAGACCCCTGTTTCACTCTAAAATCACTGTCATGGTCTATTTTAGCAGGGGGAGCACGAAACGTTGAGCTAAGAAGCTGTAGCAGGTGTACAGGTGAGCAGAGCCTTTCTCCTGGAGGAGGGAAGCTGAGAAGATGCGGCCAAGCTGCAGCCTTGGGATACCGAGCAGCAGAGCGGCAGTGTCGCCCGCTGGCCACTCGCAGCATTGCGAGCTCCGACCACAGCATCCTTCACCTTCCTCCCTGCTCTCATTTTGGGGAAAAGTGCCGAATTGACAGCCCTGAAGGTTCACCGGCACAAAAAGCCTCTGCTCAGGAGCAGGCCAGGGCATCATGGCGCTCTTGTGAGAACACAGCAAGCCCAGGAGCTCTGCGGGCGCAGGGATGCAGGTAGGACCACACAGTCCAGATCAAAAAAATCATCTCACATCCTTCTCTTCCCTTCCTATTTCCACCCTGCCCGGCTTCCAGCCTCTGCACATATTAATTCTAAAGGTAATTAATAACTTCTTCAGCAGGCACAGAAGTCACCTTAGATAAGATACCTGTGTAATCACCCTGGGATATCAGCATAGTGAAACGTATCCTCTGCGCCTGTTAATGAATGGCTACTTTATAGCAGTTGAGTGGGCTTTAATCAGAATCCTGTACTTTAATTATGACCTCTGCATTAACGAGGAAAGCACAGAGGTGTGCAGAGTAGTATCTCAGCACCCAGAACTGGGAGGGGAGAGGGACATGGAAATGTGACCCAAGCACACCAAGTTGAGAATAAAAGGGAATATGCAGAACAACACAACCCTGCTTGTAAAGGCAGCGAGGGTCGGTAACACACACCTCAGCAGAGCGGCTGTCACAGCCCGCAACAAGCCCTCGAGACAGCAGGTAAACCCAAATTTGCCAGGAGCCCACTCACCAGCATGCTGCTTACATCTGATTTTACCAGCTTGAGAATTCCAGAAGAGAGAAGGACACATTTAACCAGGGGACACCTGCAGCTGCTCCAAGGACTGAGCAGTACTTTTCGCTGGCGGATCACTGCGGCATAGCAGTGACGTTCCTGTGGCAAATGAGCCACATCCACCACCCCTGTAGCACTGTAGATCTTTGTGAAGTTTTGCTCTAGCAGGAACATCTCATGCAAGTGGTGCTGGAGTTTTGGACGTCTTCTGTAGCTTCACTGAACGCAACATTTCCCCCTCCCATCCTCAAGCCCTCCACCCAGGAAGGTGGGCTGCTGTTTCCAAGCTGTGAGGACTCTTGTGCCTTGACCGGCTGCAAGGTGCCTCCTTGTAGGAATGTGGACCTCCACAGAGCAGCCCAAATCCCTTTGAGCCTGAGCCGTACAGCCACATCACCACAGGAACCTCCCCCGGAGCACATCGAGTATTTTACCAATAAAGGCTTTTTCAGGATGAAGCAGCAAGCAAAGTCATCAGTGCTAATGTGGTTTCATGACAATTTCCCAACTAAAAGGCTCACATGAAGACACCTTTAGCATAATGGAAGTTATCTTTATTTTGATGCAATTTAAGAAGTGTTGTCATTGCTCAGAAACTCTCTCAAAAGTGCTCTCCCAAGGTGATGCACAGATGTGTGGTCAATACCTCCTGAGCTCACTCAGCTCCAAGTGAGCTAGCAACAGGAGCAGCTCCCCCCATTTGCCTCACCCCTTTTTCTGGAAATCCAAGCAGGACACAGAGCTGTTTCTGGACATCCAGCGTGCACCAGCTCCCCAACTGTCCCTCCTCTCTGAGGTTTGTCTCTCTTCTCTCTGTCCAGCAAGACCTGGACAGGCTAGACTGTTGGGCAGAGAGGAACTTAATGAAGTTCAACAAGGGCAAGTGTAGGATCCTGCACCTAGGGAGGAATAACCCCGGGCACCAGTACAGGTTAGGGGTTGCCCTGCTGGAAAGCAGCTGTGTGGGGAGGGACCTGGGGGTCCTGCTGGACAAGTTGACCATGAGCCAGCAATGTGCCCTTGTGGCCAAGGCCTGTGATTATCCTGGAGTGCATCACAAAGACCATGGCCAGCAGGTCAAGGGAAGTCATCCTCCCCCTCTACTCTGCCCTGGTGAGGCCACATCTGGAGTACTGTGTCCCGTTCTGGGCTCCCCAGTTCAAGACAGACAGGGAACTACTGGAGAGTCCAGTGGAGGGCTGTAAAGATGGTCAAGGGACTGGAGCACCTCTCTTGTGAGGAAAGGCTCAGAGATCTGGGTCTGTTTAGCCTGGAGAAGACTAAGTGCAGACCCCATCAATGCTTATAAATATCTTAAGGGCGGGTGTCAAGACGATGGGGCCAGACTCTTTTCAGTGGTGCCCAGCAACAGGACAAGGGCCAATGTGGAAAAACTGGAACACAGAAAATTCCATCTCAACATGAGGAAAAACTTCTTTGAGGATGACAGAGCACTAGAACAGGCTGCCCAAAGAGATTTCTTCTCTGGAGATATTCAAAACCCGCCTGGATGCGTTCCTGTCCAACCTGCTCCAGGTGAACCTGCTTTGGCACGGGGTTGGACTTGATGATCTCTAGAGGTCCCTTCCAACCCCTACCATTCTGTGTTTCCCTAAAGGATGGCTCAGTTATCTGCAAAGCAGCTCCCGGACCACAGCACTTCATAAACTTACATGACAAGGTAAGCCCGTCAGGGGCAGTGTCCCTTAATAAACTCACTGAGGCAGGTCAGCAGCTGTTTTTCAGGCAGCAGAGATGTCCTCACAGTAGCATAAGCCATCCTCACACACCATTCACCCCATCTTCTGCGGGAGCAGCAGCCAGCAGGAGAAAAGCTGACTGCTTGAGCTGTTCCAGCTATCCACACACCAGTACACAAGGCATCCCCAAGGGAGCAGGAACATCACAACCGAAAGTTCAAGGCAGTTTGGAGATGGCATGCCAAGAAAGCTGGTTAGCACGAACCAGGACCAGCAACAGCAGTACCCAGGACTAAGCTGAGAGGTCTGACAAGTACCTAGAGAAAGCTATTGTGTGCTTGTTGCGCAAGAAAAACAGCAGCAAAAACGAGTTTTCCGATTAGTTTTCTCATTAAAGATTTCCTTGTAATCCTGTTAACAGAAGACACATATGCAGAAGGCCATGATGGTGTTCATCTACATACACAAAAATGAGCCATTGCTTTTAAGGAGAGCCACTCACTGCCACCTCCACTTCAAGCCTGCCACACAACTCTCTCACCCTGCAATACAGGCAGAACAGGGTGTGTCAGCAGAGAAATGTGCATACAGCACTCTCTCTCCCTAAAAGCAGATTGTCTATAAGTCCCAGGGAATGACCCTCGTCACCATTGGGAGGTGACACGAAAGGACATGCAGGTTGGTATGAATGACACTGAATACCTGAATACACTTTAGTAAGGAATTTTTAGAGCACTGAATTAAAAAAACCCCAAACCTTTACAAAACAAGTTCAGGGTCAAAGCAGCCAAACTTTTGAGCCATGGACTTTTTGCAGCTTGGGAAAAGGCTCCTACTTAGGTCCAGTTCTGAATCTGTCTTTCAGAGATGCCAGGCTCATTTCATGACATTAATTCCATAGCTCATCACCACCCAAATCCATTTAAAGCTCAAGTTGGAGCACGATCAGTCACCACGCTACCTGCTTACTATTTCTCCTCCAGCAGCTATCAAGGTTATTGCCAAGACCTCTCTTTTCTGACCTGTACTGCTAAGGACGGGAAAGGTACTGCAGTCACCAAAAAGCCCAGATGGAAAAAAAAAAACCACCTCAAACCAAATTGAAATTCACCTGACAAACAGGCCATAAAAAAGTATTCCTGCATCTTAAGCTTGGTAGTCTATAGAGATGATTTGGAGGCAATTATTAACTAAAACAGCACCTTTTCCTCCAAGACTGAATGTCCCAGGACTTGGCTCAACATGCAAATTTATTGTGGCAACTCAGTATGGATTAGGGAACTTCAACAGACAGACATGGGAGCCCGCTATCAGATCTAAGAGCGAGCCAAAGAGCATGGTCACAAGGACTAACCTTGAGATCTGCAGACAACAGAACAGCTACGGGCTGTAATAAGCAATCATCTGTAGCTGGTGCTGGAAAATTAGCAGCACCAGCCAGCAGAGGATGATAGCTGCTTTTACCGTTCCAATCTCTACCCCCAAGCCAGTCATAATGCTCTTCTCTCTGTCTTGCAGCACATGCCCTACTGCCCTGAGCCCTCCTCAAAAGGTAAATGGGAAGAGGCAGAGAAATGTTTTGTATGTGCTCTCCTCCCCCTTACATCTGTTCATTCCTCCACTCATGGAACTCTACGCTATTCCTCAAGGCACAGACATGAAGGACATCTCAAGATGCGTGAGAATTCTTCAAGCTATTTAGGCTTTCCTCAGATTCACCTCAGCGCATTCAAGCAACAAAGTACGCAATTAACTGGAAAGGAAAAGTGGTTTTTATTGCCTTCACCAGTAACAAGAGCCACTCAACTACTGGATAGAACTACTAATGCCTCCATAGTTATAAATACAGTGCAGCAAGACAGACGGGACTTTTTGTGGAAAGACAAACGTAATTCCACTCCATTATCACCTTTTTATTGTTAAAATGGCAGATCTTGACAGTGGAAAAAAAGGATGTTTCACAAGGAGAATAGGATGTAGCTTCTACTGGTCCTTCAATTCCTTCAGTCTTCTGATTGCAGATTTGACTGTCACTGCAGAGGTGGTACTGGAAGAAGAAGCAGAGTCATCTGCACGTGGCAGCAGAACAACCCGCGCTAATGTTATTTTTTTGAGAAAGCACTAATCATTTCAAATAGTTATTGCCTGATTGCATTGTCAACAGGGGGCTAATTCCACTTCGATTTTCATGACAACAAAGCGTAGGCCTTTGTCTACAGAAGCACACGCAACTTCACAAGCTACATCTCAACCCAAATTACCCAGTCATGCATCGACTACATGCACAAGTGCGTAGGCTCAAATTCCTAGCGACTGTTATGCGTGGGGCAACAGTGTCTTCTACAAGAACTGAGGGGGGAGGAAAGTAAAGAAAGGGAGTAAGCAAGGGCACCATCACAATAAGGATTATAATGATTCACTGCTTTTAAAACAAAAACAAAACATGGAAATAATTTTCCTTGCAGTAAACCTAGCTTTGCCAGCTGAAAACGCTACGATAGTAACCACAAAAAAAATGCCGCTTAGGTTTTGAAAGAAGTAAGACTTCCCTTACACAATTAAATTTTTTATAGTCAAAAGAATCAAGGAAGGAAAGATAATCCCCAGCACAGAGGCATAATTTATTTTAAGTTCTTTTTAGAATAGGTTGGAGGCACATCTGTCAGGTGTCATCCATACAGATGAATCCACCCTGAGACAGCTGCATGAAACGGCCATCCTCTCTGCTCCTTTTCTTCCAACATCATCAAAAACTGGCCCAAGCACAATGCCTTGTACGAGCAACAACTGTAGTTCACACCTCCAGTAAGAAATGGTACTACAGCCAAGGCAAAAAAGAGACTACTTAAATAAAAATATATGTTTTGCATTTGCAGATGTTCCCATTTCTTTATTTGAAGTTTGGGAAAAGATGCAGACCTTGAGTTTTTTTAAGAATAAAATAACTGCTTTGATAAAGCCCAAAGAGATAACGAAGTTTTGGAGGGATCACCAAAACCAGCAGCAATAATACGATGGGTAAAATGCAATATTCTCTGAAGTTGCACAGCAGATACTGGAAAGAATAGCAATCAAATCCAATTTGATCCATTCCAATCAAATTTGAACAATGCAAGCAAAAAATCCCTGCCATACCACTAACTCAAGACAGATCTACTTAATGGTTAGTAGAGTAAAATAAAAAAAAAATATTAAAAAAGCATGCTGTATTTTGCCTCAGTCATGTGAGAATAAATGCTGATAGGAGCTTCTTCATTTCCTTACTTGTAAGTCCAGGCACCACCAGCAACTGTTTTCATGCAGGATCCACAGTGCCAGATACCCACAGCCTTCCTCTTCATTTTGGTCTGTAATAAAAGAAAAAAAAAATATGCCCTCTACATCAGCTGAAAAAGCCAAACAACAAAGCTCAGGCCAGGACTTCAGCACCACACCACAGCATCATCCACAAGTCTAGTTAAGACAGACAAGGATCAGGGAATGTTTTAATTCAGATTCTTCAGAACAGGGAAAGTCCTTCTGAAACACTTTTTCATTCAGATATAAAGTGGGTCATTTCTAAGCGCACCATCAAGAATTCTGCTTTTTTTTGAAGGACAAAAACAGTAAGGAGTTACACTGGTCACAATAACTGGTATTCTCACCTGGTTTGATGACCAATGTAACACCACTGCTGTCATCACTCCCCGGACATCCCAAGCTTGCTCTAAACCAGTCTCCCTTTGAACAGCATCTAAAGAGTGAGCGGTGGGTACTGAGCTCCTCTCACCCAGGTAAGTCTCCATCACCATGGAAAGATGACAGTGGGTTTGCCTACACCTATATTGGATTTAGGCAGCTCTGCAAATGGGGCTATCAACATTCTTACTTCACGTGAGAAAGACTTGAAATATAAAAAAACCAAGATGGAAATATTTTTCAATTTCCAGCCACTTAAAGCTACCTACTTTACAGATACCAATAAAAATTAGCTGGGCAAAGCACAAGCTAATGAGTCTCTCATACTGTCAAAAACCAGATTTAAGAGTGAATTTTTATTATGTACATAAGCAGGTAAGATTATTTTTTATCAGAAATTCTTCCCCATTCAGAGTTATGCAGCACACAAATATAAGTAAGCAACTGCAATCAAAAATCTTAAGCAGGGAAAGCAAGCTCTCTTCCTCCTCCAGATAAGCTGTAAAGTTACTGGAGGGAAAAAAAAAAAGCAAAAAAAAAAAGCCCAAGTTATACCTGAATTATGAGGATAACAAGTGCATTGTTTTAATTCTGCCAGGTCTTTTTATTAGATACCTAGAACACATAGTATGGTAACATTTCTCACTATTTTGTGTAATAAAACATAATTTACGTTTGTTTTCATGTAACTACCACTAAACATGCATATGAAATGTCTACTACCTGTTTTTATTTTCTAAGGGATTTTGACAGTAGCCTAAAACTCACAATAAACTAATGACTGTCTCAAAACTAGTCGAGTTATCTCTTTGGTACAAAAATTACCAAAGCATCAAATTGCATTTCTAGCATCAATAACAAAATTATTTTTAAATGCTATATTAGGGAAGGGGTGCACTCACCTTGCCACAGAAGGAGCAGGTATACTTGGCATGCTGGCTAATTTCGATCTTCTTCACCATTTTCCTAAGGGATGCACCGTAACGGGTACCATATTTACCCACAATCCCAACCTTCTTGGTGCGCTTAGCCTGTTGGGAAGCAAACCAGAATAAGCTTCAATTTTACTGAGACGGCCGCCTCCTCGGCTGCTCCCCTCCCCTGACACATAACAGCAAAGCGTTCGGCACTCAAAAGCAGCGCTGCAGCCGACCAACGCCTCTCCCGGACGCTGTAGATAGTTACTTATGAAACGGCGAGAGGTTCACGCTGTCGCAGCCTCCCAGCTGCTGCCGGGGTGCTTCGGGCAGAGGGCCGCAGTCCGGCAGCCAAAGCCAAACAACACCACCTCTTCCCTCAGGCCCAGCCCGCTCTCACGAAAGGCGGCACCCGGCAGAGCCGCCCGCCAGGCACCGCCGCTCCCCCACCAGGCACTCCGCTCTGAACGCGGGCTCGGCCTCTTCCTGGGACGCCTATTCGGTCTTCCAGCGTCTCCCCGCAAGCCCCCGCCTCGGGTCGCCATGCCTCTC